ATATGGATATTTGTCATACTAGTCAAGTATAGATTAAATATCTAAATTGACATAATAAGTGATTATTATTAATTTTTAGAAGTACAAGGTTATAATAGAAAAATTATATATATATATATATATATATATATGAATTTATGTAGTTTTATAAATATAATTTAAAAATTAAAGAATAAACATAAAATTAAGCTTCTATATAAGCATAATATAATTTTTTGTCAAAAAATTAAATAATTTTTCATATTAGTAATATAAATAATAATTTTTGATTTAATGTTCAAATATTTTATTTATTTCAAACATATATACATAATAAAATAAAAATATAAATATTTAAATTATATTTTATTTAGATAAATTATAATTTAAAATTTTATTTGTAGTAATAAAATTTGTTGCAATTTACAAAAGAATTTTTTTTTGTATCATCTTTTCTTATTTATATAATTTTTAATTTTAATTTTATAAATGAGAATGTCATAAGTAAGTTAGAAATAAGTTAGAAGTAATTTAGGGAAAAAAATAATTTAATCCAAGTTGGACAATTTTGTATTTTATTTTATTTTATTTTATTTTTGGACATAGTTATGTCAATTTTTCACCATGTTTTGTAAGAGGCTTTGGTCTTCTTTAGTTTTTTCTTTTAGTTTTTAGAATGAGTTTTGAAAATTTAGAAGAAGGTGATAAAGATGTTTGCAATTTTTTAGACATGGAAATATTAAAGTTTAACATTTTAATAAGAAAAAATATTTAATTTAATCAAAAGAGGTGTATTGCTTTTATAATTTGGTAGCTTAATTTTGAAAAGATTCTCTTTTATTTTTCAAATGCTACAAAACAAAAATATTTATTTTATTATAGGGTTAATGAAGTTTAATTTCTAAAAAGCTACGAATTAGTAGAATTAAAATTAAACTGAAGTTAATAGAAGGGAGTTTGTTGCTTTGATGAATTGGAGCATCAACTTCATGGGGCAATATTAGAGGCACACAACCAAATTTGAAGGTAGATGTGCTTTTAAGTCTTCTTTTCAACAAGACCAATTAGATTTAATTTAGAGCTTGGCATAAGCCATGGTATGTCAATTTGTAAAGGTCTATGTAGAAATAGGTTCACAAGTGTTAACCCCTTTAGTTCTTACTTAAATAATGTTGTTAGTCTATTAATTAATTACCATAGATGAATCTTTGATGGAAGCTTAGAAAGGATGTAGAGGTCAATTTGTATGAATAATAAAATCAATGGATGAAATTTTTATATAGATGTAATACTTATATGTAATACTTTTTGAAGTTATCAATTTGAATGTGATGTATTCTATAGATGAAAAATTAAGATGATATCCTTTATATGTATTGGATGAATGTTGATTGGATAGATGCAAGAACCTTAATCAAATAATTACCAAAATTAGACTACATGCATAGTAATTAATTAATATTATTTTGTGAATGAGAGTTCTATGACATCCAATTGGATGAATTTAATTATTTTCATATATATATATATATATATATATATATAATAATGTCATATTAAGATATGATATTGGAAATTTTACTATGCATAATAGACTGTTATCTGTGGAGAAATTCTTCATAGCGAATCAAAAATAAAATTCTTATTTCTTCTGGCCACAAGGATTACTTTGTTCCAAGACGCCTCCAAAACAGCGACCTTTCAACATCCTCCATCCAAAGTTTCGTTCAAAGGTTGCAACGACCCCATCTATCCAAATATAGCCTGCATATAGAAAAAAATCGTCTATATTATCACCTAGACATTCTTCAGTTCTAACTGCTGCCAAGCTGGAGGAGCCCTTGCCGTAAGGGGCGGAGCTACCTAAGATGCCCCACCGAGGCCGACCACTTGGCATGACGCATGACTACAAAGAACGTGATGGAAAATAATTCAAAACACACCCAAAAGAAAAGGAAACAAGAAAAAGAAATACGAAATCCCAATTGCCCGAAGTGGATCAAAGGTGGCCCTAGTTGGAACCCTAAAAGGCTCTCCGAGGAACCAGACAACACTTTATTACGTGCGCCTCGCCTCCAAAAGCTTTGGAGACGCTGTGACCAAATTTGACGGCACCCTATGCGCTGGACCAAACCCGCCTGTTCGCCGGATATGAAAGGAGCAATACGCTGAACGGTGACGCCCTCAGGATCCTCCTCCCTGGGAAAAGGCAGGGGCACCACCACACCACCACTTTGCTTGGCGGAAGAGTCACCTATGAACGCACCCCTTCCTCCCCTCTCTCTTGCCAACTCCATTCCCAGGCCAGTGGCTGTAGTTTAGTGCCAGGCCTTTGCAAGTTCGGGGCCAATGATTCCACGGTGGACGTTGGCGGGGGGTGGGGGGATTCTGTGCAGGATCCCTGATTTACGGCCTCAGAGACCCCCTTCTCAGATGGCACTAGCCATTTAATCCACGTCATTCGATGAGGGAGGTCTTGATTTATCGGTCCCAGTCTTGAGGAAAAACCTATGACGGGCCTGGCGTGCCCCGCAGTGAGGGAGAACGGCAGAGCGCGTCCCTTGCGGCCTCGAAGAGCCACTTGCATGGACGGATGATACTGTGCATCCATCCACTTGAATCCCGCGGGTCGGGTTTCCTGCCTAATGCCCTGTGCCCAATCATTTCCTCCTAATTCTCCCCGCCGTTGTTCGCGTGGTTGCAGCTTAGGCGCCAAGTATTAGGACTGCGATTTTATCATCGCTTAATCCAATTTATGTAGTGTCATTCTGTGGATTAAGACTTACGTAGTTTTTTTCATGGAAAATAATTAAAACGTATTTTTATGTATGGTTATAATCTAGTATGAGTAAAGATTGATATTCAACTCTACAATAGATATGTATATTGTCATGTGCATGCATTTTTTACTTTTTTATGATGTTTCACATGCTTCAAAACTTCTATATATATATATATATATATATAAACGTCACGTTACAAACAATTAAACTACAAAGCACCTAGTTACCCAGGATTTTTTTTAACTAACATTACCAGTAACACCATGTGTGTTAAAGTGGCACAACAACAACAACAATAATAATAATAAAACTAAGATTAAATGAGGTAAAACTCTCATTTGTTCTTTAATTTTTTTTGAATATTATTGAAAAGAAATAAAAAAATATAAAAAAATCCTAGTTGTTCAAGATATTATGCATCATATATATACATATATATATATATATATATATATATAATTTTTTTTTGGAGGTTTCTTAGAACCATTTATAATCACAAATTAAAAGGATGTAATGAGATACTCCATCCAAATTCATTAAAGTTCAAGTGACAACCTCTTGTGTATTGATTTTATCATTGAATTTTTATTTATCTATTTATTTTTGTGTATTTATTCATTATTTAATGTTTATTTATCATCAAAGTTCTAAGTTTAATTTTTAAAATTAATAGAACAAGTTTAAGTAAGTATTTCTCAACATGTTAAGGCAATAGCTTTTATTTGTTAGTGACTATTACTGGCAAAAAATTATATGCATATACACATGTATATATGTGTACGGATGAAAAGAAAAATACACAGAGAATAAAAAATATGTCGATGTTTTAAAAATTATAACGATGGTTGTTATTATTAGTGAACTCAACTTAAATATGCTGATTCCTACAACTTAAATATAATGATCATCACATTTAAGTTGTAGGAATCTCATTGTCGAAAAAAAAAAAAAAAAAAAAAAAAAACTAACAACTGAGAACTAAAAAACTAAAAAAACAAGGTCGAAGAACAGAATTGAAACAATCCAGAGTTAAACATCATTTCACATGCGATTTCCATTGTCCATTTTCAAAACTTTAGCATCAAAACTTAGTAAATTTGATCTCCTTTGATACACTTGAGCCTAGAATTGACATTCAAAACAATCTTGCACATTTCAAAGACACATTACGGAAGGTTTAGGAGGAGGGTTGATCCGAGAAAGCATCAGGGTTAGAAGGAAAAGAAAAGGGGACGAGGTTGGTCCTTTTCACTTCCTGTAGAGAATAGACTTATGTGTGTTCAAAGCAAGGCTGAATATACTCCGCGTCATCCTAGATCTGCTAGATTGGTTTATTCCTCGAAGGAATAATTCCATCCACAAGAGCCTTTTGTGATGTGGCTCCAATGTTGTGTAGGCTCTCTCTATTCAAAGAATGCCACATATCTCATATTGAATCAGTAGCATTTGGCATCAATCAAATCTCAAAGAAGCCATTTGTGTCTTTCCAAAACTATTCAAATTGGATACAATATATTTGCTGTAGTGTAAATGCCCCCCCCCCCCTTTTTTTTTTTGCTTGTTATTTTATTCTGTGCATTACCCAATTGCAATCAATTGTACTCATATTTGCTCATCAAAGTGTATAACACATAATCAATACAATTCAAAATTCTAACTTGTGTATTGTTTTTTAAAATGCACATACTCAAATGTGACGTATGTTTAAAACACATATCCTAAAATTCCACAGAAACTTGACTCAATTTTAGTAATGAAAAAATAAGTTATATTTTTATTACTAAAACATGGCAACACTCTTAAAAAAACTCTTAGAAATTCTACAATTGCATTTGTTAACTGCGTTTTGCTAAAAGCAACTGTCATATGAACAAGTAACAGTCCCTTGTTGGCAATTCACATCTTCAAAAGCTCGATGCAAAATGGACATCCCCATATTCTTGAACAGTAGAAGTTTCTAGGTGTTTCAATTTAGTCCAAAAGCTTTGGCTGCGACATGAGCAAGGGGAGGGGGTCAAGGTGTGCCACGTAAGCGATCCTACGTGGCACGAGGTTGGTGACAGCTGTGCTATGAATAGAGGTCTTGGAAAGTGTTCCTGTTCGATCGAGCGGTTTTTCTAAACTGTGTTCGAAGTTGTGGCCTTTGTCACCGATGGAGGGGGGGGGGGGGAGGAAGGGAGGGGGCTAGAATTGCCAGGTTGAGTGCCCCGCAAGGCATTTGTGGAGTTGCTTCTCTAGAAGTTTACAAAAACCGAATGATCGCTTGTCAGCAGCTGCGCGAGAGATCGAGAGAATCGAGTCCACAATCACCCATGGATGGGAAGCCCACCCAGCGGCATTGTCAGAACTTGTCGAGACTCGCTCCCTCGCTTCATTCTGCTTTTTAGAAAGCCTGATGCGTGAAATCTGTCTCGCATGCCCTTGCCGATGTCTCTGAATGAACAGATGCATACAAAAGAACAGTATGTTCGACAGTGGGGCCACTGTGACGGAGCCCACGGTTAACTACCCGCTGTTAAAAGAGAAAACACACCTATGCATCGGAGTTTTTGCGGTTAGGGTTAAAGCTTTACGGCCATGAGGAATAGGTTCGATCCTGAATAAGCTCTAGGTGCAGAATAAGGCAGATTGTTATCTATGCCTCAATTTGGTCAACTTGGCCCCAGTAAGTTGTGGTAAGTTTCGTCGATCGAGTGCTACTCCAGCTTGTTTGGGCCGCACGAAAAAACCACCGAAAAGAAATTGTGGTTGTAGTGGAAACACAGTGAAGTTCGGTGGAGCTGTGGGTGCAGACAACGTCGTCCTGGCTAGCGACGTCACGCCCCGGAGAAGCAGAAACTGACCTCAGCGATTCATTCTAAATCCCAAAGTGTAGAGAAACGAAATGTCGAGTGAGCGGTGAATTGGAAGACACTAGACATATGTGTGACAGTTCACAATGCCAGGTGAAAAGTAACTTGGGGTCGCGAAGTCGCCGCGGCAATTAGCGGAACCGACGATAGCGCCGCGATTTACCAGCCCAAGCAGTAGGGGGCAAGTTAGCAATCAAATGCCCTCAAGGGTGGGAGCGGTCAGGAGGAGGAATCCGAAGGGGCAGCGGACGGCGACCGGGGGATTAGGATACCCACCAATTTTGGGACCCTGTGGGCCAACTCCGCCCAATCATCTCGTCATTAGAGCTCTTCCCCTATAGATACTATGCTTTGTGCTTTTGTGACGCCAATGTTGCCGCAGTGAGTCTTGGCATAGTCTATTATTCTGTTTGTTCGGAGTACTTGATGGGTTTTCTGGACCGCGCTGTTTCACGTCCAGGGGGGAATATTCGGACTGCTATTGATCTGAACCTCCGAGAGACGCTTGGATTGGTTCGTTGGTGGAAGTGAATGTATGTCGTCATTGAAGATCGAATTTCGTGTTCGGGAACATGTGATAGAATCAGGAAGTTTTTGAGGGATTGTGGCGAGATTTTGGAGGTCATTTGTGATTAGGAGTCCAGCCGGATTCGCGAACGGGAGACGGAGGAGAATCGAGCATTGAGTGATGACTCGTGAGCTGTAAAACTCAAGGGAGGTAATTCATTGTATTGTTGACAGTGGAGGTGCGGAGGTGTGGAAGTGTGTAAAGACATCGGAGAGCAGAACCAGAGAAGAGGAAGAGAAAAGAGAGGAAGCGGCTGAGAGGCCGAGGTGACTGTCGAGAGCTGGATCCAGGGTTTGAATTATAGGCGGGTTTCGAATTTCTTGGCGTTATAGAGCCGACGTTGCGAATGAGTTTGCTGGATCCTCACTCAAGTTGAAGTGGAATATCGCAACACCATTGGTATGTGTCTGCACACGAAGCAGCATAGACTTGCCAGCCAACCAAGACGCCCTCGACATAGGGATAGAAGGTGAGGGAACCAGTTACAGCTCCAGGATAATCTTACTCTTGTTTGTTCGAGTTACTGGTGAAGGTGGTCGGTGTAGGTTGAACAGTGCGGCGTGCAATGCCTTCCATGAAATTGGATGTCACATTCTTAAACACGCTGCAGGGCCACGGTTCTTGTCTGCTTCGATAACGTAGGCTGAGGTTTGAAACATAGTACGGAAGCCACAAATCATTTCTTCAACAGGTTGGCGAGATTGTACTCAGACTTGCTTTGCCCTGGAATGGTATCTCGTGTTAGTTAGCTCTGAACAGCGTAGCAACATTTTGTGTAGGCTGCCTTTTCGGTCCTGTGCAGCTTCCAGTTCAGCCAACATTCGTTTGATCCCGTGCTAGATAGTTGTCTTTACAGTAGACGTCAGAGCCATATCTGAAAATCTACGCTCCGAAGTGATTTTGCGGTCATGAATTCTTTTGTCGAGTCGCACACTGAACGCTTGCGCAGCAAATATCTACCGTGTGCGAAGTATTAATGCAGATATTCTGTTCTATTTGGTAGGGCTTCTGTGTTTCTATCCGAGTCTAAGGGCCTTCATTTCATAGTTGAGCTCTGGTTTTGAATATACAGAGATGTTCTTTAGGATCGCGAGCACCATCTCGCTACCTGATATTGTGAGCTCTAAGCTTGTGTTGCACACAACTATATCTCACACAATCTATCATCAACTGGTGCTGACTGCTTGTTCAACAGTATCTAACCGGCATTGATGTCCTGTTGTGTAGAGAGGAGACGGGCTACCGCGTGGTTTAGCTGTCTGAGGTAACGATCATATTGAGTTTCCATACGAGAGGAACTTCTCGTCGAGTAAAGGGCGCAGGAGGAAGGCGAGGAACATAGGACGATAAACGTTTTTCAAAATGAGTTGCAACGGTTGCCGTGTGCTCCGCAAAGGGTGCAGCGACAATTGCATCCTACGTCCTTGTCTTCAATGGATTGAGACCTCGGAAGCCCAAGGACATGCCACTGTGTTCGTGGCGAAGTTCTTTGGTCGCGCAGGACTCATGGGCTTTATTAGCGCCGTACCAGAAAACCAACGCTCTGGTATGCATCAATCCCTGTCGCAACTCTCAAATCACTGCATGAGATTAATTACTTGTGAAGTTACAACTGAACCTACTTGCTTGGAAGGATGCACATGCCCTTTCTCTTCCTTCTTCTCTTGTTATTAATGTAATTGTTACAGTATACTTCAATGATGTTTGATCACGTAGAACCTCGGCATGAATTGTTTGCAATTGCTGCGTCTTCATGAGATGATTTGGAAGTGGCCGTAGTTTCCGTTGTAGTAATGTTTAAAAATGCTGATTATTATATTATTTCTTGTTGCGCAGCGTTATTTCAGTCTCTGCTCTACGAGGCCTGTGGACGGACGGTGAATCCGGTGTTCGGCGCAGTGGGCCTTCTCTGGAGTGGGAATTGGCAAATCTGCCAAGCGGCTGTGGATACCGTCCTCAAAGGCGGCACTCTTCGCCCTTCATCTCCCTCATCTCTGCCCTCTTATACATCTGCAAACTTGAGTTTCGCAGCGCCCTGCTTCCCAGCCTTGGCTATGCCTGGGAATTTCGCTACCCCTGCAGCTGGTAAAGTCGACGATCCAATTCAAATTACTTTATCCTCAAACGCACCCGCTGAGAATTCTCTTGATCAACATACCGTCAGCCTTGGAATCGGATTGCCTGAAGATAACTATGCGGTGTCCAACGAACGCTTAATAAGTTGCCATGACAAGATGAATAGCGGTAGCTGGCACTCGGAAGCAGTCGTTGCTCAAAACATGGAAACCAACTCCACTTGGCGAAACGATGGGCAGTGTGATAACTGGAACCCGCTCCACTCTGCTGGAGAATTTCAGAGAGATGGTCTTGGGCACAAGTCTAATGAGTTGAAGCAGAGAGGTACACACATGCGAGGGGAGTACGTGACCCCCCGGAGGGTCAAAGGTCGAGTGCAAGCAAGTCCGGAGGCGAATTTCCTCTCAGGTGAAAGAGCGTGCGAGGAGCTGCCAGTGCCAGGCAATGGAGCCGAACAGCTTGAGCTAGATCTGACTTTGAAAGTGAAAGGAGTAAAGGGTGAGAAGACGGTGGGGAACAAGAGGCAATCTAGCCCTTGTGACTCCGTGAAGTCTGAAGGATCTGTCACAAGTCTAGACAGTTCTGTTCATGAACCACCGAAACCGTGCAACTGGGCATTAGAAATGAGTCTTATGCCACCAACCTTTCGTACGCTTCTGCCCCTGATGCAGTAAAATTTGCACCGTCTTAGAGTGGTGTAGAGGCATCGCATATGATGCTTTGCTGGAGCATATACCTTCTGCGTGCACTGGATCATTTCACCTTGGTTCAAAGATTTTTCAAGGCTCTTTGTCGGGTATCTCACAGATAGAAGATGCAGAAAACACATGGACAACGATTTTTACCACAGCTGCGTGTCGTAAAGATATATAATGCCGATGATAAGGTCGTTGAATCATATCTCATTATCCAAAGCTATTCAAGTAAGAGAAGCAGCATGGTTATGGTCCTCAATGAACAGTATCTTCAGATTTGCAGTTTCAAATTTTGAATAGATGATCTTTGATCTTTCGAAGACTCATGGCATGTGCAAGTGGGCTGACAGAAGGGGAGGTTTTGGTTAGAGTAGGGGTTAGTTTGCGGGAGTTCGTAGAATAGAATCAGAAGAGACAATTTAGGACGAAAGGACGATATCATCACAAGTGAGATATTTTTCCTTTACCTCGGAAGAAACGAATGATAAGGAGAACTTTAATGTTTACCTTACCTTGGTTACATTCAGGATAATCATGTTCGACCCTGAAGTAATCCATCGTTGACACTGCTGAATTTGAATAATATGACAGTCTGGAATATAATTTTGTTGTGGGTGTTGCATTTGAATATATAAAGGTTGTCAATGCGATTTCGAAACATTTGATATCTGCGGGTACAGACATGTAAGGACGCCTAGCAAGATGTGGAGTGAGAGTTAACATCCATTCTGCCTGAAGATCGCAATTCGAGACCACTAACAAGAGAGGTTAGTGTATCGATTCTTACAAAATGTCACTCCTATCCTCACCAAAACTAAGGTATGACTGATTTTATATAAATATTGCTAACACTGATCATATGAGCATTACCATTTGTCCCCGGAACTGGCACAAGACTGATGGGGATGCATGTCCGCTTCCGAAGCTCAAGGCTCCTCAGCTTCATTCCCATGGCGATGGAAAACGTGACCTTGTCTTGCTTCTGTTCTTCATCGATAGATCGAAGTGGCAAATTGTTGTAAATTGCAACGAAGCTTAAGTCTGCAGTGGAGGTCGTGTCGTCTGCGTCTATGTCCATGAAGATCTTGAAACTGATTTTCTTTCCCGTTGGAGATTGAATATTCTCAAGGATCAGAATCTCCTCCACTACAACTGAGCTAGACTGGAATAGACCGAATAAACCTCTTCTCTTCGTAGCCGCGTTCACAGATCCGAGAGGTATGTAAACATGGAAGGCGTTGTTCGTAAAGGAAATGTCCCGTGTTCTCTCCCCGCATTTCGTGACTGGTTTGTCGACATTTTGTTTTAGAATGATGGAGGACAACCCTGTTGCTGCAACAGAGGAAGACAAGCTTTTCCCGTGTTTCTTGAACCTGAGAGAATCATGGTGCGCCCATGGATTGTCAACCTCCTCGTAAGTATACCGCAACTTCACAATGTCCAAAGAGTCCTTAATCTTCACTCGAATCAAGTCTGCATTCTCATCGTAAAACAGAAGCTGCGATTCCATCCAATCCGGATCGTCCTCGAATCCCGTGCGCTTGCCTCCTGGTAAGTTCTTCCAATCACACCACATCCTGTCGCAATTTGCATGGTGCGCGTAAAAGATCGGATCCCTTGCAGCAGAGTAAAGATGCACCATATCCTCGCCATTAGGTTGTGCAGGGTCTCCCACCCAGCCATGGATAGCTCCATGAGGTCCAACCTCAAACGCACTTGCGCCTAAACTAGTTTTCTCGACACCTCCCCGAAGAGGCTTTCCTAAGAAAAGGGATGGCAATGTGGCACCGCTGACGACGGTTTGGTATAACAAGTTGTTGTTCGATTCGATTACTTCCTCTAGGGTCGCGTTCTTGATATCCATGGGTGACCTTCCTGTTAAGTCCGTTGAGAGATCTGGAACTGCAGGAGTTCTATGCCTAGGGTTTCGAAGAGGATCCACGAGCGCGGGCATGGTGTAGAAGTACTCAGGGATCTGTGAGGGCCGTTCGGGTTCCATCATACTGTCCCAGTTCCAGAAGGGGAGAGCGAAGGAACTGTCGTTCAGAAGGCTCGCCAGGATCCTCTCGTGGAAGTATATGTACCACCTGCGAGAGCTCGTCAATGTTGATTTCCAGTTAGCCAATACAAGTCCGTGCTCCACTCGCACACCAAATCTCCATCCAAGTTTTTGCACGTATCATCACAGTGTACAGTTTCTAAATCATGTACGTGGTGGGGAAATCATGAGAGAAGTGACGAATTCCTATCTCTATAACTACAACTGGTTTCTCTTTGCTCGCTTCTGGTTGCAAATGAATATGTGGAATTGAGTCGAAAACCTGGAACCTCATTTACAAAAGGAATGAAACTTTGCTTAAGAGCACTGGATGTTAGAAAACTTGATGTCCGCATTGCCCATGGATTGTATTCAGATTAGAATTTCGGAAAGTAAATTATGAAACCAAAAGAATGCTTCGTTCGTAATTCCTTCCTTCATAATGCTGTTTCCAGATCTTCACTATGCTCTATCCGATGTCGGTGTAAGAAAGTGAGGGTGCTCTTGCTTGGGAGGCTACTGGGGTACATCCTAAAGCTCAGCTGCCTGCTCACCCCTTTGTCTATACCACCGTAGTAAGCGACGGATTCAGGCTACAGAACCTAAAAGACTTCCGCCTTGTGGTAATGGCATTGCTTATGCTACAATCTTACAGAATTTATAAGCAAAATGTGGTGAAGATATGACATGAATTGCTATAATACCACGTTTTTGCCTTGCGGCAAAAATGTTTCAAGCCTTCTAGTGATATGTAATATGAACGAAGGGATTTAGTGGACTATTTTAAATTGAAATGAATCTTGGCTTAAAACTAATGCGTTACACTGAAGCCTTGCACTCTACAGTCCGAAGTTAGTAATTAGCAGCACACAGATTTGAGATAAATTGAAATACCTGTGGAAGGGAAATGTCAACCACGTGCCATGCATCTCCAAAGTCACATTTATCCCCAGTTGCTTGAAACCGAACCCACAGTAGGCGCAGTGGATGTTGGATTGCTGATGAAAACTTCTCGGATCATCCTGTGGCAGTGCCCTCATTAGCCTGTAAGCTCTGTTGTACTTCTCAATGTACGCAGCATCCACCTTGTGCGCAGGTCGACGCACTCGCATCGGCAGCGTTTGATCTTCAAACTTAAAGTCTTTGATGGGGCGCGTGGGTAGCGGCGGGCAGCATGAAACCACTGTGCTGTAGGGTGGCACCACTGCGTGTTTCTTGCAAGTGTACATGTCGGGCCCCATGTTGGGTAACCCACTAACGCTTCCGAAGTTCACACATAGTGCCGTGTACAAGATCCAGGTCCCCAGGGCACCCTCAAGCGCGGACCTGCCTGGACTCCCCATCCTCACAGCTTGAGAAACTAAGTCCAGTTTGCGCTTCCGTGACAGTGACCAACTTGAAAAGCAGCACCTCGTCTCAGTTGATGCTAGTTCCTCAAGGAAGATCAAACCGTTTCTGGGGACTCAGATACGGATTCTCAGATAAGTGCAACATATGGATGGAGGACGTGTAGATAGAAGAGAGTGGCATGATCAACGCTCGGCTGAGCCTAAGGAAAAGCACATTTCTACACTGCAATTGGAGCGGCAATAATATCGCTCGAATGGATCACGAAATATCTAAATGTGATTCTGCCACTTTGGAACGAAAGCTTACATTTCAAATTCACATAACTTTCACCGACAAAGGATTGTCTGGTCGTAGTGTACAGAAAGGTACAACCTCTTCTCCATTCCTCGACCTGCAAACGACGTCAAATTCCAATGAACAAGTTCACGGACTCGATAATGACGTTAAGTCCCCAACCGGTGTGATGTTTCTTAACTGCAAAAGCGTTGGAAATCAGAGTCCTCTCTCTTTGTGTCACATCTGGAAAGATCTGCAACTACTGCGATGGTACCAAAACGTCATTCAAGCTTCACATCTCGGGCACCCCATCAAGTGTCACTCGGCTGCTGCAACCCACTTTCAGCACCTTTATTAATTCCTTTCTTTCAATTCAAAAGTTTTCTTTCATTCATATAAAAAAACAAAGGTCGCCTATCCTCCCTGTGAGATATGGCCAATGTTATTCCGTATGCAATGAATCAGTAAGGGGATCAGCTCGGCTTCAAACTCAAAAGTTTATACCAAGAGCACCTTTCTGAGCTCCGCTGAGTGTGCGCAAGCGTCGAGTACACAGAGCTGGATCCTTATCTAACTGGAGCTTCTACGCAAGAGCAATTAGTTTGTGGCGCAAGAGGTTTCAGATGGGCAACTGCACCATAACTTTGGACGATCATTCACCCAAGCTCCTTGCACATCCATCCTCCATGGCTCCTCCCTCCACTGCAGCCCAGTCGTGATGGGGCTCACTGCATGCACCCTAAACCATGGCAGCCTAACCACGAGCTTTGCTGCACTGGTGTGAGCATCCAGTGGCGATGACATTTGGGTGAAGACTTTGGTTCTGTTTATTTTTTTTGTAGTCAATATTATACTTTGACAATTCTGAAAAGATAGTAGAGGTATCAGCATCTTGGATGGTAATCAATTGCTTCTTACTCTTCGGTGGTGGTAAAGTTGTGATGATACCTGTGAATCAATTTTGTTAATTAAGGGAGGTTTGGAAGAACTAACAGAATAGGGAGACTTGGACCAATAGGGTTTGGGCAGCAGAAGGTTGGTTAGAGATACTTGATCCACACATGAACCAAATATTTTGAAGTTTGAATTAGAGTACATTAGGTAAGGAAAGTAAGTGGGTTTTAATAGAAAGATAATTTAATGCTAGCAATTAATCAAAGTAATATAAGTAACCACCATGGCCACTGGTTGGGAAGAGAATTATTATTGTTGTTTATTTCAACGTTCTACTTGAATTGATTGTATCACAAACTACTTTCCAAATTAGTACTTTGACTCTTCTGTTGTTTGACCTAAATTAAATTGCAAATTTTGGATTTTGGTTCACACTAACTAAGAATTGCAAATTATTTGTTAATCAGATGAGGAGCGTAGAGTACGCTCGGTAAACCCTAACGGCCGTGGCTGATCCGCCATCGCTCCCAGCTCCCTCCATCAAAAGCTCCTCATTGCGATTCTGGTTTTTTTGCTTTCTCAACTACATCTCTATTCTTAGACTTCTAGGGAGACATTTCGTCGTCCACTGTTTTCTAACGACGACTGCATCGCAGCAACTCCATCACTCGCAACTTGCTTCACAGACCACTCCTCCCCGTTGCCTGCTTGACCCTCTGCCTCCGTAGACACCATAAAGGAAATGATATGGTCTTTTCCAGCCAACCGTATTGCCCGAGGACTTGGAGGTCGTTTGCCCACTCTCCCCACCTGCATGTCACCCGCTTTACGTTGTGGTGGTTGATTTGAACCTGCCCTTGGTGAAGAACCGCCTCGTAATAAGGTATCAAGCGAAGAGATCCTCCCATCGGGCTCTTGCCTTTAGTTCTGTTTGCCCCAGGAACTGGACTTTCCAGGAGGTGTTGCACGGTTAGCAATCACCGACTATGCTTCCTGTTATTGTAGCGAACCTAGACGACCTATGCCACAGATTGTTTCCCGACACACCAGCATCTCCATTGGCAGCCGGAGCCGCTTGTCTTGACCCAACTACTGATTCCTTGTCCTAGTCACTCGCAACGAGCGATTGTTTCTGTTTGTACTCCCGCTTGAGTACTTTCCCATTATATGTATTCGCCTGACCCATTCGCAGCGGAAACCTTGCCCAGCTGTATGTGTCCTTGTTCCAGGTTCCCCAATAACCGACACGATTTGCAACGTTCTTTTCTCAGATAGCGCCTTGGATAAGTCCTTATTCTAATGGATTGACTTCTCCTTTCTAGATTTGCCTCGGTGGCTGCCAGAATTCGCTCTGATAGCAGCTGCAATGGACTCGCACACCCACTTCTCCTCTTTCCTTTCACCTGCTTCTTTCCTCTTCCGTTCAATCAGAGTCTCTCTTTCTTTCCGCTGCAGCTCATCACGAGGAGTAGGAGCATGATTAGCAGACTCTTTGTTGGTAGACGCATTGTCACTTACTTATAATCTCGATACAGACCGTCCTTTCTCAAACGCGCGCTTATGTGAAGTAAGACTGTATTGCTGATACACCTGCAGAACGAGCAGACAACTCTGAATTTGATGACATACTCCTCTGAGATGTAAATTTTGCAGCTCTAAGCGATCGCACTAAATCCGTCAAAGGGGTCACTACCACGACATCCTTACTCGTACCAGCAACTATGGAGGCAGCCTTCTCAGCCTCTCTGCGTTCGAGTTGGATCTCAACTCTTGGCAAGTATTCCGCTGGTTTAGCGAGCTGCTGCATAAATGCCAAATAGTCTGGATCTTTATATATGATACCTTCCCCTACATCCTTCTCCCTGTCCCCTGTCATTGCTATAGAGGAACCTCCCCCCTCCCCAAGAAAAAGCTCACAACCAAACCAAGGTTAAGCTTCGAGAGAGGGCCACCGTCGACGAGTTGTTCAATTTCCAGCCACCAAGCTCTAACTTCAACTTGATGAAAGGCTAGTGCAACAACGCTCTCTCAGTCTTCAGGACTGAACATTCTAGCAACACCACGATACCACACGCACGGAATCTAGAAGTAGCATGAGATGAGCGCAAAGAAGAGATAGAACGGCATACAGAAATTTCTGCAGACCTGTACTACTACTCAAAATGCGTCCTCTGCCCCCCTCTCTGCAGCAGTCTTCTTGTACTCACGCTTGAACTCCTGCACAAAGTGATTGCTCATTCTGTTGTCATATCCTCCCTTCCCAAGTGAGTGTCTTCCGCAATGGCCTTCATCTCAAAGTTCCTTACGTCAAAGGTACCACTTTTAGGGTTGAATATCAACACATCCTTCTCACTCACAGATGTTACCTTCTTGTCCTTAACTGTGAGCATCCGTAGCAGTGATGGGGCTCGTTTATGATACGCAGAAGATTCAAACCGGCAATGACTCCAATATTCATGGTTGCTTGTCACAGTCACCACGGCATTCTTCACGGTGGATCCTGCAATTTTGCTTGCTTTGCTTCATTACTTCGCAGCTTGATTAAGTGAGACCGTCCTACTCATTGCGATGCATTGAGCTTTCGAAGACTTACTTTTGAACATAAGCAATAGCTGCTGTTGTATGTAACTGCAAAAACACAACAAATGAAAAAATATACTTAATTTATTTCAAAAATCTACTTAAAAGTAGATGCTTTGCAACTTCTTAAATTAAATACCTTTGAAAAAAACAATGTACTTGTAAAAAAAATTGTTGAATTTTTATGGATGAGAAAATATATATGTTTACAAATTTATATATATATATATATATATATATATAAAATCAAGATTGGATATAAGATAAGATTGGATGGAAAACAAATCGTTACTTACATTATCTTAAATTTTTTCATCTAAAACATTTATTTTTCTCTTTTATTTATTTATTTCTATTTACAATATTATATCTAAATTTTTCATTAATTTCTATGGAGCATTTTTATTTGAATATATATTAGAACTAATTGTATGTTTATAATACCTAATAAGTAATTTATCGTAATTATACACTAAATTAACACAATGAATTTATAAAATTGAGTATATATGTAGGATCTCTTCATTTACCTTTAATTTATAATCATTTGAAGTTATATTGTTTATTTTAACATTGAATGTAACTACTGTTAATCTCCATTCAATCCACCATGATAATTAAAGTATAGACATTCCATTGCTTGTAAATAACATCAATATTTAATGCAATCTTATTTAATCAATTGCAAATGAAATTGCCATGTACACTTGAAATTGAATTGAGTAGAGATAAATTATGTAAATGATATTAAAATAAAAATGTAATGATTTTTTATACTTTATTAAGAAAATTTAATTTAAAAAATTTATAAGACTGCCTCTATTATCAAATATTGTAATATGAAAAAGATATTTCTTGTATGCAAATAATGAGTGATATTTATTCATAGCTACAATATGCAATCATGTAATATTTAATATAATAATAAATAAAATTATGTATTTTTAATTTACGTTTTATTTTTATGTACTTTTATTATCATATGTTTTTTTATAATTTTATCTTTTAAATTATTAATAGTATTAAATAAGAATTGAATTATAATAATTAAACAAAATAGAATCCATTTACCATTTATCATACATATATTGTGATAGTGAAAGAATCTATTGATAAAAAATTATAATTTATAATATTATAAAAATTAATCTAAAACATAAAATAATATTAAATAAATAAAAAAAATTTTATACCATATGTATGAATATTATAGATATGCTATATATATATAATATGCCTAATTAATATAAATAAATAAATTTATTCATAAAATATTATTTAAAAGTAATATTGATAATCAAATATTATAAAAAATAAAATTTTAAGAAAGCTATTTTTATAATTTAAAATTATATTATATATTATATTAATTATTATTCTTTACATAAAATTATATTACATAAAAAATTCTATCTTTATCTTTATGAAATAATATATTTTTTTTATTATTAAAAATAAAATTGAATATATATAAATTTATAATAATATATATTTATAATAGAAATAATTTTAATATATATATATATATATATATATATATATATTCATCCTATATATTTTCTCTCATTTTAGATTTTTTTATATTAATCATAAAAAAAATTAATATTATATCTATTAAAATATTGAATGGATGTATTTATCAAAAGATGGAAGTTGCCCATTAGGACAACAACCACCATTTTATAAGTAATGAGTAATAGAAATGAGAGTTATCTTACTCTATTCTCTTTTTGTGTGCAACCTTGTTGATGCTGTATGCTGTCATTTTAAAATTCTTTTTTTTTTTAATAGGTTATAAGTCCACTCACCTTTAATTGTGAAGTTTGAAGTTCTTTGAAGTCTTTCTTGTTGTGAAGAATAGATCTTATAGTTATTATTGATGTTAAGATTTGATATCTTCTAAATTCTCTTTTACATCTAGTTGTTGATGTAATTTTTTTCTCACTTGTTGTTAAGTGTATTCATCATTTTGGAAGTTGTGAAAAATCTTAAAATGATATTTTAGAATACTAATATTAAATTTTTTTACTAAGTTATATCATTGGTACACTAATATTATGTTTTAGTATGCTACATTTCTTAACAAGTCTTCTTACAGTGATAAGAGGATATTTCTCAGATTAGAAGTGTTTTTGTAAGAAATGAAACTGATTAAACAATAAAATCACTAGTTTACTCATAAAAAAGGTAATCTGATTTTTTAAAGCAACAACTTCTTTATCTTGATTTTGAGAGCACTATTTTATATATTCTTAATTTTCTTTGATATACGTTTTTTTTAGATATGGCTTCAAGTGAAGGTGTCACGGACATACTCATAATTACATATACAACTATGTAGAAGTAAGTAAAAGTAGGTAAAAGTAGGTAAAAATAAGTTAATTCTATAGTATTTGATATAGAAGCTTCCTAGATGCTTCATAGACACTGCTTTGACTTCATAGGTGTCTTTAATTGACTTTTTGGATTAGAAACGTGGTCAATAAGTTAGCCATGTGCCACACATGTTGTTAGCTTGAAGATCAAGCTAACTTTGTGGCCCACATGTAGAAAAACTTGCCTTATAAGTCAAGGCATGTGTCCTACAAAGTCAACACATATTGGAGGTTCTATAGAACGTCGCCACGTTGTCGTATGGCATGATTTGATATGTGGGAATACAATGGGTATCTAGTTGTAGAGAATGTATCTTAAACCTTTATATGATTCTTTTCTTGGCTTCCAAAACTCCTTTATTTTTGTATAAAATTCCAAATATAACAAAATCCCTTCAAAACATATTTTTCCCGCAAAGGGTTTTCTCACCCCAAACTTTAGAAAATCATAACTATTAATCTAACCGTTCAATTTATTTCAAATTTACAATATAGGTAGAATTTATCCTTAAATTTTACCACAAAAAAAAACCAACTGCAAATTCACTCCCGATCTTTTGGCATATAAGAAACCCTAGCAGACACTCCAAACCCTAGTTTACAAGCACCCAAAAAACTATTTTCCTTATATCTCAAAAACCCGAACTCCAAATGTCATAAAACTTATGCACAAAGTTTACTAACATGAAATTACACATTCCTTGAAATTTTGAGCCAAAACTTTGTCAAATTGCTCAAGATATAGCTCAAGAGAAAAACACTAGTAAATCGGTTTACTTACTACCCTTAGATTGCATGTGCTGACTTCAAAATCCAATAACTCCTTTATTTCAACTTAGAATCCAGTAAGCAGTATGTAAAAAGTATAGCCGCAAAAGTGCTCTCTTCAGTCGCAGTCGCCGATCCTCAATTGCCATCTGTACGCGTGCGTTATGCCCAAAAGAATGACAGTAGGTCTAAAACTAATACCTTAACTTTGAGCGCCTATAACTTCTTCATAAAAACCCCAAATGACACAAAATTTGCACCAAAACCTTAACCAAAAACCTAAACCTTCTGACCATAGCCTTCAAAGTTCGAATGGTCTCGAAAAACTAACCCTAATCCCTAATATGGCCTCGGGCAGCCTCCTCAAAGCCCATTGGTCGTGATTTTTGACCAATAGGAATGGAGGTTTTTTATTTTTCATCTCCATTCATCTATATTGATGTCCTAATTACTCCCTTTGCTACCAAAATCCTTCTTCAATCCTTTTTCTTATAAGATTTACATAATTTATGCTCTAAACACCAAATAAAAGAACCAAAATAAGTTTTCAAATGTCACCAATGTCTAACAAAGGTGATTCTAAATATTTAGAAGTTACTATCAACCAAAACCAATCTTAAAAGCCACTATCAAAAAGAAATTAAAGTTATACAAATTCTATAGTAATTTTTTTAAACAACCTCTTCTCAAAGTAATAATCAAATTATATTCTACAACCAACTAAAATCTACTAACATGGCTCTCACCATGTTACTTAATAAATTTTATATTAAGTACATAATTACATTATTTTCATATAGTAGCCGAACCACAACACGACAATGTAGCCCCTAGTTAGATAGTATATATAGAGACAAGAGTGAAGCCTTCTTCACTCTTGTCAACTTGTTTCTTCCTTCCAGTCTAGTTTCAAGGGTCTCTAGTTTTCTTGTCTTTTGGCAATAGCCATTCCAGTTTTTCTTTCAATATACATACTTGTTTATTTATATTTTGTTACCTTTCTTTGAGTGAAGGCTCACTTGTTTGAATTGCTTTTTCATCGAGTTCTTGTCCTTGACAGATTGACAAGAGTCCACCTATAATATCAGAGTTTTATCTAATCTTGATTAAGAGTGGATTACCCCTTTTTCTTGATAAGATATAAGCATATTAGAAGTTACTGATTACCTTCTTCTAAACTGATATTGTCTTTAGTATTTTCTTTGTTCTCAAGTCCTCTCTTGTATTTGTCTTGAGCGATATTAGACATCTTCTCTTTTCTAAGTATTACCATGGCAGAACTTGTTGAAATGAATAGAGCAATGGCACAAATACAAGAGCAATTGAGGGAGTTAATGCTTGCGATGCATCAACTCAATTTACCATGACAAGGAGCAACAAGATTGGCAGGAAGTGAAGATATAGAAATGATTGGAGCTGCTACAACATCTGTACCAAACCACGTCCTTTTTCCTATGGTGGAACGCCCTTCTAGTGTTAGAGAACCAAAAATTGCCCTATCCGAGAAGTTTGATGGCACCAGATCCAAGTTTCGAGGATTTATCAATCAAGTGCAACTTGTGATTGAACTTCAACCTCAAAGCTATCCAACTCCAGGATCACAAGTTAGATTCATTAGTACGCTTTTTTCAGATTCAGCACTATCGTGGTTTTCATCTTTTCTTGAACGATGAGATCTAATATTGAATAATCTAGAGGCTTTTCTAGCAGAGTTTTGATCCATGTATGGAGAACATGATGTAATTTGTGTTGCAACCAATAAGAACTATATTTTACGACAAGGCAATCGATTAGTAATGTTGTACATTTCACAATTTCGACAACTTGCAACTGATATCAAGTGGGATGATGTTGC